ACATTCAAAAAGAAGATTTTAATACACGACCATATCTTTCGCAAACATTAGATCCTTAGATACAACTTCTCGAAAAATAGCAATGAAAAGTCAATTACATATTTTCGAACAATAAGCTTCGTCAGATCCAAAAGAAAAGCGTGTTCTTTCGTCGGATCTGAAAGAAAAGAGTTTCCTTTCTGCGGATCTGAAAGAGATCTGAAATATAAACGTATTCAAAGTCGGATATGAAACAAATGTGTGTTCTTTCCTCGGATCTGAAAGAACAACTGTCTTCTTTCATTGAAAACAAGGTAAAAAACGGGACCTTATTTGTTTGACTGAAACATAAAGATTGAAAATAAAAAACAAGATCACAACATGGAGGAAAAGAATCAAACTCACAAGGAAAAATTACATTTTTGGTTACATGCAGGACCGAATGGAGGAAGCTTGATTCCTCATCAAGGTGGACTTTCATTTTTGCAGAGTGAAGTGGCGCATAAAAAATGAAAATAAACCCATGTGGGTTGGTGATATCAGCCATTTTAATGTTTCGATTTTGTATTTGTTTGTTGGGCCAAATGAATTAATATCAGAATTTTTGGGGCCGAGTAACAAGTGAATTTGTTTGTTGTTTGGCCTTCATGTATAAGGCCCTCCAAGCTAATATGACATTGATTTACCATTAAATTTATATTACTTAATAAAAATAGTTAGATAAATTTTCTAACATAAAATTATTGTTTGCATTAATAATCTAAATAATTTTACATACAGTTAGTTGATTTTTGTTAAAATAACTTTATTTGTGCTCACAATAATTGTTAAATAATAAAAATGCTTTTTATTTATTTTTACAGAAAATATAACGAGTAATCATCCCGCAGTTCAAAATAAAGGGAAACCTGCAGATATTTTGCAGATTCAAGGACATTTATCGTTATTAGACATCACAAATGGTAACTTTTTTTCTATTGTAGTGTTTGGACCTACAAATTCATGTACCCTTGGCAATACTCTCTATTCTAAAATTTGGAGTAAGAATTTTATATTTGAATCTCTTACAATTATATAAATACTAATACTAATACTTATCAATTTTTTGCAACAAAAGCTAATTGTATTTGGCGTTTTAAATTACAGGTACTATACAATCATAGCACGGTCCTAGATCGGCATTGAATATTCCACGATATAACACCTCATATTCCACCTGTATGTCAAACGCTTCAATGGTAGCATAATTGGTTAATTCTACCAATTTTATTTAATATCACATTATAGCTTATTGTAATTTGAAGTCATCATTCTTTATTTTAATTAATTTTATTTTTTTTCCAACCACTAGGTCAACAGATGGCTCATGGGAAAGCTCTAAACTGTTCCACGAGTTTTGCAGTAGAAACAAGTATAATAGACCTTACAAGTGATGATGAGGATGAATTAACAATTATTCCTCGAAATACATTTGAACAATGAAAACATAGTAAGATTGTAACTTCTGGACTTATGCGTGAAAACAATAATTGTTTAAACTGGGTAACTCATGTAGTAAGATAGTAAGTTTTAAAAGAACCATTTTTTAACTTTTTTTAACTGTATTTCTTTTGATAAATAACTGTAGGGGTCAATGCCCCAACACAGCCTAAAGATACCAACAGTACAAGTGTTGTTATTGATCTGACTCATGAGTCTCAAATGCCATCCACAAACGTTAAAAGAAAACGTGGTCGTCCAAGAAAAATTCAAGGACCGATATCCAAATAGGAACTTCGGGTCATGTTGTTTCGAAAATGGACCATTCGATGGGTCTGTGCAACGGCACACGTTTGGTTGTTAAGAAGCCCTCTCGACATGTTCTTTAAGTTCCAACAGATACAATTTTTCCTTATGGTTTTCTATGCCATGACCATAATAACTTATTGATTAATGACCTTCATTTTATTAAATTTTTCCAAAATATGTTCAGCTCGTGCATCGCACGGGTAACGTACTAGTTCAAAGGTAAAAACTAAGTAAATTAATTGGGACATTGACATATTCTATTAATATATAAAGAGGCAATGATATTTATATTTAATAGTAACTAAAAATCAGTAAAAAAATATTTGGTTTCTCGTCTAAAATATTTACTAAATTGAGTAATCTTTTGGCAAATTTTGAAAAATCCCGCATATGTGATATCAGTTTTATTTATTTATTTATTTATTTTGAAAAACTAAATGTAAGCATTGGGTCAGTTTGAAAACAAAATCAGGCCTAATTTTATGTGCATCGAATATATTTATGCTATTTATTTTTTTAAGGGCCAATTGTCTTGCCAATCAAAAAATTCATTTTTTTAATTTAAACTATCAGTTTATTTCAAACGTTTTTTTTACCAATAAAAAAATACGAATTTAGTTAATTTCAACAAAAGATTACCAATTATAAAAAATACGATTTTTCCAATAATAAAATACAATTACACATATGAAAATTTGTATTATTTTTTTATTTATCCTTTTTTGGTCGTTTTTTTGTTCATAATCACAAGAAAAAACAACTTTAAACCTAATTATCATTCAAATCCACAATGTAGCATAATTTAAGTTTTTATAAAACTCTAATTGATAGTAATTTAACATTATTAAAATTCTAAAACAATACCCTATGTGTAGTAAAACTCATTTGCACGATGCTAAAATCTGATTCAATAAGGTAACACAATTTAAGTCCACTATAATTAGGAAAGTATATTTCTTTCTAAAATATTAGATTTCGATTTTTTTTTTTCAATATAAATGCTAAAATCTGATTCCATAAGGTAGCACAATTTAAGTTTTTTTTTTTTTGTTTAAACTCTAATTGATAGTAATTTAACATTATTAAAATTCTAAAACATTACCCTAGGTGAAGTAAAACTCATTTGCACGATTTTCATATATACCTAATTAACAATCGAACAACTGATTTTTTTTTTTAATTTTACCAACTAAAAATCGGATATGTAATAATCCTAATATAAGCATGATTTAAATATATTGAAACTCATATTGATAGTAATTTGACAAAAATAAAATTCTAAAAACAAGTTCATTACAGTTAGGAAAGTAAATTTCATTGGCAGAAAAATATTAGATTACAATTATTCTTATATTGATAGTAATTTCACAAAAATAAAATTCTAAAATAAAAAATCCACAACAGTTAGGAAAGTAAATTTTGTTTGCAAAAAAATATTAGATTACAATTCTTATTTTCTCAATATAAATGCTAAAATCCTATTCTGATTCTTATTTTCTCAATATAAATGTTAAATCCGATTCCATAAGGTAGCACAATTTAAGTCCACCACAGTTAGAAAAGTAAATTTCATGTACATATAAAATATTAGATTTTATTTTGCTTTTCAACATAAATGCTAAAATTTGATTCCATAAGGTATCATAATTTAAGTTTTTTTAAAACTCTATTGACAGTAATTTAACATTATTAAAATTCTGAAACAGTACCCTAGGTGAAGTAGAACTCATTGCACGATTTTCATACCTAATTAACAATCGTACAATTGAAAATTTTTTATAATCTTACCAACTAAAAATCGGATATGCAATAATCTTATAATAAGCATAACTTGAAGATATTGAAACTCATATTGATAGTAGTTTGACAAAAATAAAGTTCTAAACAAAGCCCACTACAGTTAGGAAAGTAAATTTCATTTGCCAAAAAAATATTAGATTACGATTATTATCATATTGATAGTAACTTGACAAAAATAACATTCAAAAAAAACTTCCACTAACAGTTAGGAAAGTAAATTTCATTTTCAAAGAATATTAGGTTAAGATTATTATTTTTTCAATATAAATGCTATAATCTAATTCCATAAGGTAGCACAATTCAAGTTTTTTTTTTGTAAAAAAAAAAACTATAATTGTTAGTAATTTAACTTTACCGTAAGAAAGTAAAACTAATTTGCATGATTTTCATCCCTAATTAATAATCGGACAAATTGATTTTAAAAAAAATTAGATATGTAATATTAAAAGCATAAACTAAATCTCCAAAAATATTTTTATTTATCTAATTAACAAATGAAAAATACATAAATTTCACTATAACAATGCAAACAATGATTATTGCATTCAACACACTCGATTACAAAGAACATCTTAGAAATAAAACATTTTCTTTTAATTGTTTAAAAATGGTGCCACCATGGGTTTTGATCAAGGATATCAAGAGGTCCAATACGCCATTGCTCAAGCTTCGTGTTATTCGCATGTTTTAAAGATCGTCCGAGAATATTTCTTACAAAAAATGTCCTTGAGTTAATTTTGCATGATAGTGAGGTTTGTCACTTCTTTCTATTATTAATTTCATTTTTCTTTTTAATGTATAGTATTATAATTCTTTTTTTTTTCAAGGGTGGGTGGATAACAGGTCTCATAATGCCTTTTCACAAACCCAGGTTCATTGACGAGCTTAAGGATGGATAAGTTTATTTCTTCCATCATTATCAAGTGGAGAGCAACATTGGCCTTTACAAATCAACTATTGGCAAATATCGCATCATACTTCATGGGAGAATTGAATTCTATAAATTTAAGGGGTCATTTCCATTGTATCGATTCTCTTTTAGAAGTTTCTCACCTTTGCATGATGTAGACAACATCGATGAATAATGTTGTTTGTTGTTTGATAAGTCATAATCATTTTCTATGTAAACCTATTTACTATGTTTGAATTCTTTTATCTGAATTCTATATTCAATATAATTATGCAATTTTATTATATTCTATTGGTCTTAGATGTTATTGGCTTGGTCGTGAAGACCCATCCAATCAAAATCAAAACCATGAAAGGTGGTCCGACCCAAATGATTAATTTCACTCTTATGTGTGAACGAGAAACTAAATGTAAAATACTTTATCTGCTGCACGTTTATGGAGAGCTTCCGATTTCATTCTAAAAGCGGTTATCACAGTCTCATTCACGGTCTTTAAAAAAAAAAGGAAATTTGTCAGCAAACCTCAACAAAGAATATTATATAAGACAATAATGTTGGCTACTTTATCTGATGCTCTCTTCTTAAGAGATTCTGCTTTCGTTCTCTCCATATTTTGATCCACTCGAATGTCGACCTAAGTAAACAAAGGAACATTGGCATCAAGGTTATACAGTGAGTTATTGTATATACACATTATATATAATTTATTATGATGAGTGAAAACCTCAAACATTGGCTCGAAACTAACATCAGCTGGCTTGCGAAAGGATTTCTGATATTGGAATAGATAATATATTAGTACATTCTATAACAATAATAAAAAAATATTTTGCATATTTTTTATTGGTTGATTCAATAATATGAATATTAATTCGGAATTAAAAAAAATGTACAAATTCCTTCTTCGATATGGTATGCACGTTCTCCTCGATGTTGTCAGTTGCCATTCCAAGTGCAAGTGCTTTCTTCAGTGTTTTCTCCATCTTTTTTTGCAGCAATCCATTACAAACAAAGACCAAAGTCAGATATACTTTCAGAGTATGAAGCATATATATATATATATATATATATATATATATGTATACAGAGAGAGAGAGAGAGAGAAAGGATCATATAAGAATGACTCTTAATGCGAGAAATTAGAATGAGTCTTGATCATTGAATCCAACATATCAATGGTCTTGATCAAGTCAAATATTAAATATGACAGTCAAACATGAGTGGCAGTTTTGTAAATAAATGTTCAATCTTTGGTCAAATATTTATTTGACCACAAAATAAGGACAAATTAGTCATTAAACATTAACACAATTATCCACACCACATCACGTGGGGCCCACCCCTTCATCAACAACCTCCCACTCTCTCTCACACACTAATACACATTAACATGATTTTTACCCACACGCAACACACACACACAAACCTCTGCACACACACACACACACACACCTGCACGGCTGCACACACACACACACACTCCGACCAAAGGCAGCGACTGACGGTGGCGAGGCAACACGGCGGCTGACGGCTGACGGAACCGAAGCGACGCGGCGGTGAGGTGACACGACGGCTGACGGAAATGAAGCGACGTGGCGGTGGACGGCGGTGGATGATGGCGTTGCGACGCTGTGACGGACGGAGACGAAGATATGTTCTTGTGGACGGAGACGAGGCGTCGATCCGACTGACATAGACGAGGCGGCGAGCCGGCGGCGGAGAAAGACAAGGAGTCGTGTCTGCTGAAGGTGACGATACTATGAGCGGCGGACTGCGGCGCGACGCGACGGCGGTCCGGCGGCGGCTGCGTGTTCTGTGTGAATCGACGCCGGCGGTATGCTGAAGTAGATGGACAATCAGGAAGGAAGAAATGTCCATGATTCAGGATCTATTTCATCCACTTGTGAATTGTGGGGTTTTTCTATGTAAACTAGATAAATTATAGTGGCTAATTTGCAATTTTAAAAAAGTTGTAATTAAAATAGTGTGCAATCTGATAGCGGTTAAAGTGCAACATGTTGTTCTACAAAGTGCAATTCAATTTTTTTTTTTATAAAGTGCAACATACTGATGTGTAAAAAATAGTATTTGTTTATATGGTTTGGTCGGTCTGGTTATTTTGGTTATTTAAAAAATAAAAAATAAAAAATAAAAATTGACATCGGACCGAAATAACTAAAATTTTAAAGGTAAACACACATAATCGATCCGACATAATATTCGAATAAAAAAAACCAAGTCAGTCGGGTTCGGTGGATATAGTGCAATCTGACATTCACTAATGTGCAATCTGTCTAACGTTAAAGTGCAATATTGAAGACATTAACGTGCAATCAGTCTAACACTAATGCGTATTCGAAGTGCAATTATTTTTTATAAAAATAATATATTCCGTATTAGTAAATTTATTAGTTAATAGTTTATGTTGTTGTTTGATGCAAACAAATAATATATATATAGATAAAATATAAAAAATAATATTTTTTATGTAGTTCGATCGGTTATTTAAAACATGTTTTATAAAGTGCAACGTGTTGTTTTATAAAGTGCAAGATTTTGCTATATAAAGTGCGATAATATATAGTTCGATCGGTTATTTAAATCATGTTATTTTATAAGGTGAAACATGTTGTTTTATAAAGTACAAGATTATTCTATATAAAGTGCGATAATTTATACATTTATATATAAATTATGTGTATTCGAAAAGTAATTTTAATATACATAATTGTATATCAAATTAAGTTAAAAAATAAAATATTTTTTATATCATAAAAATTAATTTATTATTTCAAATATATTATTTATTATTATATATTATTCTTATTTAATATCTTATTTATTATTTCAATGTATATGAATAAAATAATATATAAAAAATTCTATGTTGTACATACTTTTTCTAAATTACAAATTAGGCATATGGGCTAAATTGAATACAATCACTTTTTTTATCTAAATTGCACATAGATCCCTGAATACTATCAAATTCTCAAAATGAAAACCACGTCTCTCCCTCTACCCATCTCTCTCGCCGCCGCTCAACCACCTCGCCGCCCGTTGCAGATGGCGGCGTCTGTCGCCTAGACCCACCTGATATGACTGATTCACCATTCCTCACTCCGGACGCCGCTGCCCTCACATCCGCAATCGGCGACTGAGGGTTCCCCTGCTGGCCTTGGTCGCTGGCGAGATCAGCACTCCAATTAGAGTCGACTCCCCATGTCGGTCGTCGGCGTCGACGTGAAGGTGCGTCGATGTGGCTGATGACAGCGGCAGATGGGGTTGCAGCGTCGTCAGTGCGCGATGTCCGGCGGCGGATTTCGTGGCAGTGGTCGGGCATCCATTCTCCGACGTCCTTGCCGTCGCTAATGGCGGCGATTCTGCGATTGTCCGGAGTGTTGTGGAGGTCGCAGGCGGGAGTGTGTGGGCGGCGATCGGCGATGTGAATCTGTGCGTGTGTGTGTGAGAGAGAGATTAGTGTGTGTGAAGAACTTGTGTGCGTGTATTTAACCATTAGATCATTTGATCTAATGACTACGATTTATTCTCATTTCTCTCGCATTAAGAGTCATTCTCACCGGATCTCAACCCTATGTGGTGCTCAATATATATATAGGGTCGCGCTCCAGCGAAAATGGTGCTCAATTAAAAAAATAAGAATAAATTATAGTCATTAAATCGGATGATATAATAAATTAAAAAACAAACATTTTTTAACATTAATTAAAGATAAAATAGACATTTTATTCCACTCAACCTCATGGGCCCCACTCCCCAACCGTCCCCTCCCTTCTCTCCCACTTCTTTTCTCTCTTTCATACAAACACACACAACCTGCCCAGACAGTCTCCGACGGTTTCCTCTCGCCGGCGGCCCTAATCGCCGTCACAGCCCACCCCGCCTCTGCCTCCTCGATTCATCTCGTCATCGTCGTTCGATTTCGAAAATCAGACACAATTTAAGATCGAATTGCCCGCCATAATCACTCCTCATCGTCTCCCAAAATCCACAAACCACTCCTCATCGTCAAATCACCAAACACAAATCAGTCATCATCGTTCCCGACTCCATCGAATTGCTGCAAAATCTAGAAATCTGTAAATTGCCACGCAAGAGCTGCACGAAGTTCAGCGGTTCGTCGATCGGAAAATTCATTTTCGAACGGCGACTGACATTCTCCGCCATCCACGCGGTGGTGTTGCCTTCAGTGAGGCAGGCGATTTTGGGATTGGACGGCAACGAGGCAAGAGACGATGTCCTCGGTCGAGAAACGGGTTCCCGATTCAGGTTAGGGATTTCATGACAAAATACCAATCTAATCTGTTTTTGGTCGCTTGTGAACGAGGAGATTGATGGGTAGGCACGGGAAGACAGCTGCTCCTCGGTCGTGCATTGTCACTGTCACCGTCGTCCGAACTCCGATCGACGGCGGTAAAAAAACCAGTCAGAAAATCGCGCATAGTCGCACAGAATTGGAATTTGGGATTGGGGTTTTGTTTTTTATAAATTAGATAACTTTAAGGGGCTTCTTTGCAATTTCAGAAATATTGATTATATTGTAATTTAATTTATGAGTTAATTACATAAAAATTAATAAAAGTCCTTAGTTGCACAATAATGGTAAAATGAATGCACACCAATGTTAGACGGATTGCACATTAGTAAGTGCCAGATTGCACATTATCGAACCAAAATATAAAGTTTCAAAGCGAACTATATAAATTATTATTATTATTATTATTATTAAATTTGTATGTGTTGCAAGTGCACAATATTGTTTGATGGTTTGCACATAAATGACTATTAGATTGCACATTAACGATCGAAACCGTCTATACTAAAATAAACAATTCGAAATTTTATATTCTTGTTGATTATCTATTTTTTTATTTCAATTTCAATATACTAACTACAATATTATAAATATACATAATGATTAATTCGGTTATTTTGGTTAAATCATTTAACTGTCCGAAATAACTTTCATATTGCATATCAGTGATTACACGAATTCACATTAGTATAATTTAGAATAAAAAAATATGATTATATCAAGTAAATTCCAACAAAGTCCTTAGTAATTGTATAATTTCCAAAAATAAGCCCCTTTAATAAAAACAAAACAAAAAAACAAAAAAAAAAGTAAATAAAGCCGGATTACACACCAGTGTTAGACAGATTGCACACTAGTTAACATCAGATTGCACATTATCGAACCGAAATATAAAGTTTTAGAGCAAACTATATAAATTATTATTATTATTATTATTATTATTATTATTATTACTACTACTACTACTACTACTACTACTATTATTATTATTATTATTATTATTATTATTATTATTACATTTTTTTATATGTTACAAGTGCACAATATTATTAGACAGACTGCACATAAATGACTATTAGATTGCACATTAGCGATCGAACCCGTCCAAATTAAAAATTTTGATTCAAAATTTTATATTCTGACCAATTATTTATTTTTTTTCTTTCAATTTCAAAAGACTAACTACA